CCCCCGCGACCCAAAATGGAAGAAGCGGGTAAAAGATAATGGCTGGATGGATTATAACTGACAACTAATGAAAACCCCAAATTCAGTATGTCTGAAAATTAGAATATTACTTATTATTAATGTGCTTGGACACAGAGCTCTATGAACAGCCAGCCTCTTTAGCAATGACCTTTTGTGTCTTGTCCTCCTTGTGCAAGGTGTCAATGGTCTTCTTCTGGACAACTGTCAGTCAGCAGTCTTCCCCATGATTGTGTAGCTACAGAACTAGACTGAGACCATTTAAAAGCCTTTGCAGGTGTTTTGAGTTAATTAGCTGATTAGAGTGCAGCACCAGGTGTCTTCAATATTGAACCTGTTCACAATATTCTAATTTTCTGAGATACTGAATTTGGGGTTTTCCTTATCAGTTATAATCATCAACATTAAAAGAAATAAACATTTGAAATATATCAGTCTGTGTGTAATGAATGAATATAATATACAAGTTTCACTTTTTGAATGGAATTACTGAAATAAATCAACTTTTTCCATGATGTTCTCATTTTTTGACCAGCACCTGTAGGAAGGTTTCTGTTCAGTGCCCTGAGACGACTTCTGTTGTGACTTGGAGTTTTATAAATAAACTGAATTGAAAAAATGAATTGAGAAACAGATCCTGTCTAACTCTGAATGTTAGGAAACATCTTGTAACTGTGACTTTCCTTCCCTCCATTGACTACGGTGACATTCATTCCACCTTTATTTCTACAGGTAGATCCCATTGAGCCTCGAGGACTCATTTACAAGAGAGACCTGATTTAACAACAAATGATGACAACAATGGACAGTTATAAAAAGTCATACAATTTTTTTTGTTTGTTTTTTTACAAATAGGATGGCAAAAAAAAAAGAAAGTAACAAAAAACAGCTAGATTCTAAGGCGAATGTAGAAAACTAAAAACAGGAACATGTCTGCGTTGGTCCCTGCCAGGAGTCCAACAGACATTATTTACATGGACGCTCCTACAAGAACCCTGCAGATGTTGGATGCTGCAGATGTTGGATGCTGTCTATCATGGTGCACTAAGATTCATAACTGGCTGTAACTGTCGTACCCACCACTGCACCCAGTATTCACTGGTTAACTGGTCACCATTAACTTCACACAGACTCTCCCACTGGTACATTTTCATCTTTAAATCACTTCCTGGTCTGCTGCCTTCATACATCTCCTCCTACATGTCTCTGTGTGAGTGCAGCTACAGCATGCGCTCTCAGGACATCATTACCTGCAGTGTTCCCTCAGTGAGGACTGAACTAGGCAAAAGGACCTTCTCCTACTCCGCTCCTGTTTCCTGGAATATCTTGTAAAAACATCTGAAGCTCTCGACCTTTGACCTCTCTAAGTGGCTTCAAACATCTGTTAAATTCCTGCAGATGTTCCTGTTGTTTTTTTTTACATCACCTTACAATCTAGATGTTTTTGATTGTTTTTAATACCAATTACTTGTTCAATTGATATCCTTTTTATATGATTGTTCACTGTTGTCATCACTCTTTGTTAAACCGGTGTCTCTTGTAGATGAGTCCCCGAGGCTCGTTGAGACTAACCTGCAGAAATAAAGGTTGAGTGAATGTTCAGTATTGTAAGTCTTGATGTCATCAGCAGGTAATGATTTATTCAGCCTCAGTTTCTCTGACTGGTCCAACATTTCTTAACGTGACATTTAAAATGTACTCGGAATAAAAACAGAACCAAGTTGAGTCCTGTTTTTACCAGTGTGTCTTGTCTCATGGTCCCGCCTGTCTCCCCTCTCTCTGTTGGCCTCAGGTGGTTTGTTTCCCCGGGGGGCTGATCAGGAGTACAGTGCGTTCAGATTTGGCATGGTTCAGTTCGGAATGACAGATTTCAGACTGACTCCACATATAGATAACCTGGAGGTGGCCAACAGCTTTGCTGTCACTAACTGCTGTAAGTATTCTTTTATTGTGCAAAATTAAAAAAAAAAAATTCAATATAAAAATGTTCGTTTGAATGTTCATCTCCCTGCCTACTGCAGCATGCACTGTGTATTCCACATGCACAATATATCATGTCCTGATGTTCTCATGTCAGGGTTCATGTTCTGTTTTGACTCATGTTCGTGCTGCTGTTCTGCATATTGTTTTCATGCTGTTTGAGCTTAGTGTATATTTAGTTGGTGTTTTTCTTATTCATATCTTAGATGTTATCACTGTTTTTATTTTACATTTTATTGTTGGCTGTAACTGGGACCCTGAGAACATATTCTCATTCCACCACGTGTACCACATGAGGTGGAATGAGAATAAACAGTCTGACTCTGATATACAGAGAATATTAACAACCTTCAATCATCCTTCAATCAAGATCTGTGGTTTGTTAGAGTTTATTTGTATTTTAGTGTTTCTTTTAAGGTTTTCTGTGATTCTTGTGTTGTGTGTGTGTGTTGTATACATATATATATAGGTCCTTCTCACAAAATGAGCATATTGTGATAAAGGTCATTATTTTCCATAATGTAATGATAAAAATGAAACTTTCATATATTTCAGATTCATTGCACACCAACTGAAATATTTCAGGTCTTTAATTGTTTTAATACTGATGATTATGGCATACAGCTCATGAAAACCCAAAATGCCTGTCCCAAAAAATTAGCATATTTCATCCCACCAATGAAAGACGAGAGTGTTTTTAATACAAAAAACACCAACCTTCAAATAATCATGTTCAGTTATGCACTCAATACTTGGTCGGGAATCCTTTTGCATGAATGACTGCTTCAGTGCGGCGTGGCATGGAGGCAATCAGCCTGTGGCACTGCTGAGGTGTTCTGGAGGCCCAGGATGCTTCGATAGCGGCCTTAAGCTCATCCAGAGTGTTGGGTCTTGGTCTCTCAACTTTCTCTTCACAATATCCCACAGGTTCTCTATGGGGTTCAGGTCAGGAGAGTTGGCAGGCCAATTGAGCACAGTAATACCATGGTCAGTAAACCAGTTACCAGTGGTTTTGGCACTGTGAGCAGGTGCCAGGTCGTGCTGAAAAATGAAATCTTCATCTCCATAAAGCTTTTCAGCAGATGGAAGCATGAAGTGCTCCAAAATCTCCTGATAGCTGCTGCATTGACCCTGCCCTTGATAAAACACAGTGGACCAACACCAGCAGCTGACATGGCACCCCAGATCATCACTGACTGTGGGTGCTTCACACTGGACTTCTGGCATTTTGGCATTTCCTTCTCCCCAGTCTTCCTCCAGACTCTGGCACCTTGATTTCTGAATGACATGCAAAATGTGCTTTCATCTGAAAAAAGTACTTTGGACCACTGAGCAACAGTCCAGTGCTGCTTCTCTGTAGCCCAGGTCAGGCACTTCTGACGCTGTTTCTGGTTCAAAGGTGGCTTGACCTGGGGAATGCAGCACCTGTAGCCCATTTCCTGCACACACCTGTGCACAGTGGCTCTGGATGTTTCTACTCCAGACTCAGTCCACTGCTTCTGCAGGTCCCCCAAGGTCTGGAATCGGCCCTTCTCCACAATCCTCCTCAGGGTCCGGTCACCTCTTCTCGTTGTGCAGCGTTTTCTGCCACACTTTTCCCTTCCCACAGACTTCCCACTGAGGTGCCTTGATACAGCACTCTGGGAACAGCCTATTCCTTCAGCCATTTCTTTCTGTGTCTTACCCTCTTGCTTGAGGGTGTCAATGATGGCCTTCTGGACAGCAGTCAGGTCGGCAGTCTTACCCATGATTGTGGTTTTGAGTAATGAACAAGGCTGGGAGTTTTTAAAAGCCTCAGGAATCTTTTGCAGGTGTTTAGAGTTACGTCGTTGATTCAGATGGTTAGGTTAATAGCTTGTTTAGAGAACCTTTTCATGATATGCTAATTTTTTGGGACAGGCATTTTGGGTTTTCATGAGCTGTATGCCATAATCATCAGGATTAAAACAATTAAAGACCTGAAATATTTCAGTTGGTGTGCAATGAATCTGAAATATATGAAAGTTTCATTTTTATCATTACATTATGGAAAATAATGACCTTTATCACAATATGCT